GTGTGTGTGTGTGTGTGTGTGTGTGTGTGTGTGTTTGAGAGACAGAAGACAGACAGGCTGGTTGATTTATTTTAAGGAGCTGGCTTCCACAGTTGTGGAGGCTGACAGGTCTGGAATTTGCGGGGTGGTCCCTCTTCTTCAGGAGAAGTCACTCTTCTAGTAAGGCCTTCAGCTGGCGGGATGAGGCCCATCGGTACGGAGGGCCGTCTGCTTTACTCAGTCTCCTGATTTAAATGTCAATCTCATCTTTAAAAAATACCTTCACACAAACATCTAGAATAATATTTGACCAAATATCTGGGTACTGTGGCCCAGCTATAGAAAACTAACCGTCACAAAATGTATTACCATACTGTAGCTCTTTCCTTATTCATAGACTAGGGTTCCACAAACCTCACCCCCCATTAGTCTAAGCCCCACACCCAGAGGTAAGGAGAACAGCCTCAGGTGGAGGGAAGCCCGTCCCCCTCTCATCAGGCATGTTCCTGAAAGCACCACTGGTACTACTGTCAAAGTGTTCTGTAGAGATAAGAAGGTAAATCAGGGTGGACAGACTTCAGAAGAGAGGTGTACGATACATCTTAGAAAAATCCCATTAAAATGCCCAAGATAAAAGGCTCCATGGAAGTGTCCTCCTGAGGAAGACCGCTTTCCCTAGTGGTGCTCAGTACTTGAGCATGAACTTCCCTGGGAAGATTTAAGTTCCTGAAGCACAAAAAGACGCTGGCTGTCACCGTTAACACTGCTCCCCTATCGTATCCACTTATTTGCAGCAGAAGCTCCATTGATTGGAGCTAAGCTGACTTAGACGTGTAATTTATTAGCATCCTTAAATTATACCTGGTTTTAGGGAAAAGAAATAATCGCATGGAGTGAGAGATCCACTCCGAGCTGAAACCTGTGGGCATTTCCCAGTCCCCTGATGCCTTTGCTGCTCTGTTCCCACAAGCAGACTCGCCAGCCTCTGCCCAGGACCTCTTGTCCCGGATTAAACAGGAGGAGAACCCGTGCGTGTGGGATCAGCAGGATCTGTCCGAGAGAGATATTCCAGCGGACCCCAATTCAGGTGAGCAAAATGCCAGAATGAGCACCAAGAACAAGCAGCCGCTCAGCTGACTTCTGTAACCCCCAGGACAGCAATCTGACGGAAGCACTTTTTGTCAAAGGCCAACCAAAGGCTCAGAGACTAAAATGCAGCCTGTTCCTCAGTTAGCAACTTTGTACAGTTTTTGGAATAATAACCATTAGTCAAGTGGATAGGATTTTCCTAAGGATTCATTAAATCGATCATTTATTGTGTCAGCATAGCTGATACTGAAATCACATCAACAATCACAATTTTTGAACAATAAATATAACCAGAAAGGCTTTTAAAAGTTGAGTATATTTCTGTGACAGAAAGAAAGAAATTTACATTTTCTGAAATTTCTCTCAAGCGAATACTAGTTAGAGATCTTCAAGAAACTTCAGGGGAGAATCCAGGCAGATAGGAAAGGTCCACCCGCCAGGGACGCATGCAGTCCAGGGCTGGCGAAGCCCAACGTCACCTGATCTGGTAGTTATGACCCCAAAGTCTCATTCTACCCCCATACCAGGAGAAGATGATCAGATGTAAAATCTAGCATTCCTTGTAGTTCACTGACTACAGCTTCACCACAGAGAAGCTGAGGGGTCCAGTGTGGGGAGGAAGGCTGGCCCCGACAATCCACGGTCTCCACTACAGTTCTTACAACGACTGTTGCTCACCGCTTCTGCCGTTGCTGACTGTTAAGTCCTGCTGCTCGTCCCTCCATCCTGTGGGCCATCAGCCTGACCGGGCTGCCCCTGGCTGTCCTAGACCCACAGGTTGCTCTGGGACTCAGTGACTAAGTCAGAAGGCCTGGGTGCTAATCTTGCTCTGCTGCTGCCTTTGGGACAGGCCTCCTCCACCCTGGCCAACTCAAAATCCAGTGAGGACAAAGGGCGTCCCCCTTAGGCACTTGAGAAGGGGAGGAAGGCCAGTGAATGAACACGGATAGCGAAACAGGCACACACCCTGTGAGCTGGAGCAGGGGCCTTTGCATGTGATGGCTTTCAAACCTCTGACGGGAGGCTCACCCAAAATGAACAGAATCTAAGACTGCCTTCTTTCTGTGAACAGAGTCTCTGATCTCAGCACATGACATTTTGTCGTGGATCAAGCAGGAGGAGCAGCCGTACCCATGGGGCCCACGTGACTCGATGGAAGGAGAGCTCGGATTAGCTTCTGGTCCCAGTGAGTAATGTGCCCCCAGGACCCTGGGTACTTAGTCCAGAGGGTTGGCTGCTCAGCCTCAGTTATCCCTCATTAGGTTTCGAAATGTTTGCGGCAGCCTGTCCACAGTCTGTACCAAAGCAGCACCCCCTTTCCTTCTGGCAGCTGGCAGGTATGCTCACTTCCTGGGGCTGTCTTAACAATGTGCGACAAATTGGGAGGCTTAAAACAACAGCAGTGTATTGTCTAACAGTTCTGGCGGTGGAGTCTGGAGCTGAGGTGTTAGCAGGGCCATGCCCTCTCTGAAAGCTGTAGGGGATCCTTCCTTGCCTCCTCCAGCTTCTGGGGCTTGCTGGCAATCCTTGGCTTGTAAGTGCATCACCCTGATCCCCCATCTTCATGTGGCACTCTGTGCGTCTGTCATGTTCTAAGGACATAAGTTATACTGGATCAGGGCACCCTACTCTAGTTACGACCTCATCTTAACTAATCACATCTGGGAAGAGCCTATTACCAAATAAGATCACATTCTGAGGACCTGGGGGTTAAGATCTCAATATATCTTTTAGCGGGGAATATAATTCAGCCTGTAATAGCAGGGAAATAAGAGTGGTCTGAGCCACTGGTGTCTGAGCAGGAGTGGATGGCTCACATACTAGAAAACGATGGCTAGAGTCCCAAGCCATCCCTGAGCTGACATCCTAGAGTAACTGGTAAAGATCCTGAAGTTCAAAGTAGGGGTAAGGGATCTTTCTCTCCTAACAGGTATGGGACCAAAGGTCTCACCTGACTTGGGTCTCTTGGGTCTTTTTTGAAGCTCCACTTCCTGTCGGTGACTGTAGGCATACATTCATGGTGTCAGGCTAGCTCGCCTTGCTAGACCAGTACAGTCACCTCGCCCAGGGCGGCTGGCTTAGGGTCTTCTGGTTGATTGGAGTGTTGAAGAGACAGCTAAACACCGGCTCCTTGTCCCTACTCCTCTGACACCCTCCAAGGGCTCAAAGTCCCTGTAAGAGCGGAGGACGTAGGTTATTTCTGATCTGAAAAGCCATTTAAAGCCCAGGTACATGGATCCCACTCTGTGAGACAAATTTGGTTCCATCTGGAAGAGGAGAGTGAGGCTGGAGGAAAGGGCAGGGGATGGGCGTGGAACGGTGTACGCCCTTATTTAAAATAGGATTTAAAGTAGTTCTCTTTCTAATCTGTTGGTGGGGTGGGATGAGACAGGAAAAGCCAGGGGACTGACCTTGGGGACAGGAAGAAATTAGAGCAGTCGGTTCCGCTTCCTTCTCTACAGCAGCCAGTCCACCATTTCTGGCCGTGATGGAATAGGTACCAGTTCATGTCAGGAAATTCTGCCTAAACATTTGTCCCTCAGTGCTGCTTCCAGTTTTGTCAGCTGGGAATGTGTGGGGCTGGAGGAGCCTCTGTTTGGGGTCCTGTGTGGCTGTGGGAATAGGTCTAGGAAAGGCTGTGCAGAAATTAGGCGGCTTTATAAATCAGCGACCTTGTGCTTCTTCAGTTTGGATATACTGAGTCATAGGACAGTTCGCCTCAGGTCATTTTATCTCAGGGAAGCCTTTGAACCTTAGTGTATGGGAGGAAATGCCCAGAATTAGGGAGACAGGGCTCTCTGTCTTTCTCCCAAAGGTAGCCACGTTCCACTTGTTAATGTTGGAATGTGAAATTAGAATCTCACCTGTGATTTCTTTGAGGTTTAAAATCCACCTAGTGTTGTGGTTGCCCAGGATAACCAGATGGACTTTATAAGGCATGGCATCAAATATATGGCTGCTGTTCCTGCCAGCCTCCTTCCCTAGCCCTGGGATATGCAGGACAGCGAGACCTATGTCCTGTTTGGCTCTCACTTCAGACATGAGCTACACATTTGAGGGTCCCCAGACCACCCTCACTTCTGACCTACAAATCCAGGGGTTCCCATTAACTGCTCAGGTTCAGTAATTCATTAGAACAACTCAGGAAAGCACTATACTTACAATTAGTTTTATTAGAGCAAAGGATTCAAATCAGGACCAGCTAAAAGGAGGGGGGCCACAGGACCAGGTCTGGGAGGGTCCTGAACAAGCAGCTTCTGCTGGCTGCTCCCGGTGGGGTCAGGAGCGCCACCCTCCCAGCACAGTGGCAGGACAGTACCGAGTGCTGCTTACTACAGGAGCTCACCCGATCCTTTGTGTCCAGAGTTTTGACTGGGATTTCTTTGCATTTGTATGACGGATTGGATCATGAGGTTGACCTCCTTCTCCAGCCCTTGCCTCCTCTCCGGAGGGGCTCAAAGCCCCAACCCTCTAATCATATGGTTGGTCTTGGTGGCACAGCCTGCTCCCACTCTGCGTCATCTTATTGACTGAAACAATCTCGGGGCCCACCATGAGTCACCTCCTTAGCGCAAACCATTTGCGTTACCATAAATAACAAAGGCACTCCTATCACCTGCTGGGAAATTCCAAGGGTTTAAGGCTCCCTCCAAGGAACCAGGGACTAAAGCCTGCCAGATGACCACACATAGGCTGTTCTAAAGCCAGGAAGTGTATGAGATCTAGGGAGAGTGTAGACAAATATTTAGAGACCCCAGGTCCAAGCCTGGAGGAAACTGAGAGGAGCAGGGTGTCACAGAGCTGGAGAAGAAGCCCTCTCAGATGGAGGGGCTGTGTCGGGCCCGATGAGTGGTTGATATGCAGGACAGGAGAGGCCCTCGGATATGGCAGGCTGGAGGATGCTCGTGACCTTGATGAAGGTTGTTTCAGTGGTGTGCCGGGACACATGCCTGATTATAATAGTCTGAAAGAATGATAGGATTGATAAGTCTGAAAAAGAAAGGTTATGGTTACCCTTAAAGAACATTGCTGTGAAAGGAACAGAGATGAGATGAGCTGGTAGCTGGAGCAGAGAACACACAAGGTCAAGGCAGAGTGTTCTTTTAAGTTGGGAGATACTGGGCCATTGTGTGTGGCAGGCTGCTGTCCTTTGCTTTAGGACCCTGATTCAAACTGCCTGAAAGAATGAAGACATTTATTCTTGTACATAACTAAGGGGCAATTGAGTTTCACTGTCAGCTGATTCAAGGATGCGTCAAGTTCTCAAGGACCCAGGTTCTTTCCACCTCTTTGTTTGGCCACCTTGGTGTGGCTGGAGCAAGATGTCCACGGCTGTTCCAAGCAATCACATTCAGACCCAGAGGAATATGAGTGAGGAAAGTTTTCCAGAAGCCTCCTGGCAAATTCCTTCTCACATTTAATCAGCTAGAACAAGGTCACATGCTTATATCTGTTACTGCTAATCATTGGCTACTGTCCAGTGAGCTCCAAGCAGAAGTTCTTGCATTCGAGGCTGAGGAGGGGTACGACCTGACCCTTGCAGAGAGGGGAAAAGTAGGATACCCTGAGCAGTGAGGTAGGATGCCAGGCTGTGTGTGGAGGGCCGCTTTGGAGATTCGATTTTCTCCAGCCGCCCTCAGCCACTCGAGTGCAACTACAGAACTGGGTTCCCCAGGCAAGCATGCTGGAGGGGAGTGGGGCAGAGGTGCAGAGGTGTTAAGGACATACTGGTTAACAGCCGCCGTGCTCACCGCAGGAGCAAGGCTGGTCAGGAAAAGGAGAAGGAGGTGCTGGGAGCCGTGCGATGGGTGTACGTGTGGCAGATGTGGCCTGAGAAGTGGCCTCCAGGGAGCAGATGAGTTCTGAGCCGAGGAGAGAACAGGGTGTGGACAAGCCATGGGGACAGAATGCAAGCTTCACCTTCTTTACTGTTCTTCCACCTAAAGCCTGACCCTAAATAGGGGAGGAGGCTCAGCAGGGATAGAGGACTGTGAACTGGGGCCTGGGGAGCTGATGGAGGGTGAGGAAGGAGACTTGGAAACATAGTCGGCAGTCGGAGTAGTTCCTCAGGCAGACGTGGGAGTCCAGGGCCTAAGATCACTGCTCTGATGCTCAGGGCCTGGACTTTGTGTCCTACTGCCCCCAGGGTAGTGCAGAGCAGTGGGCTTGGCCTGGAGACGTGGAGGTGCAAAGAAAAGGCATCCTTGCAGGAGCAAGGACAGCCCTTCCTGGGGAGGCCGGCTGCACAGCCACTTCCACACTGGTTCCAAGAGCCCTGGTCACAAGTGGTCAGGGTCCAAATGGAGTCAGACGCCAGGGTGGGCCTCACAGCAGCCCCGCTGATCTGCTGCTACAGGAGCATGAAGTCCGCTGCTTGATTAGCGAAGCACAACTGCAGGGTGCCGCCAGGTAGTATGGTCCCAGCTCCTGCACTCCATTCCTGCAGGCCTCTAGACAGGCTTTTCACCTTGGATAAGTTCTGGCAAATTCTTTTTCCCCAGTCAAGAGATTCTGCTTAGATAAACTGGCATTGAACATTACAATACCATTAAGTCATCATTTCCGGGGGTTCTGCCTTCCAGTCAGTTCCACAGAGCATGGCCCTTCCCCAGCCCCAGGTCTGGGTGTTCCCCAAGCGAGCTGCGCCACCCGCCCGGCCGCCCTGCCGCTCCGTGGGCGGCCCGGGGCAGGTCAGAGGCTCTGGGAGACCTAGAGCCGCCTGGAACGAGGCCTGTTCAGTCCCTCATTTTCAGAGAAACGGAGGCCCAGAGCCTGTGGAAAGCCACAGAGGAAATGGGTTAAGGACCCAGGCCCCTGGCAGTGCCTGCGTGTCACCTCTCTGTGTCTCCCCTCCTAGGTGACGGCCTGCTGCTGGTGAAGACCCCGGGGGCGGCCCCGCCGCAGCCCCCGCCGCAGGCGCAGCCCCAGCCGCAGCCCGGCCCGCCCAGCCTGCCCCCGGGGCCGGCGCCCGAGGGCGCAGGGGGGCCGCCGAGCCGCGGGGCCGGGGCCGGGGCCGGGCTGCTGGACGACGGCTTCGCGGGGCTGGCGGCGGAGCGCGGCGCGGGCGAGGGCGGCGGGGGCTGCGGCAGCTGCTGCGCGGGCGGCCTCCGGCGGGGCCTCCTGCTGCACGGCGCGCGCAGCAAGCCCTACTCGTGCCCGGAGTGCGGCAAGAGCTTCGGCGTGCGCAAGAGCCTCATTATCCACCACCGCAGCCACACCAAGGAGCGGCCCTACGAGTGCGCCGAGTGCGAGAAGAGCTTCAACTGCCACTCGGGCCTCATCCGCCACCAGATGACACACCGCGGCGAGCGGCCCTACAAGTGCTCCGAGTGCGAGAAGACCTACAGCCGCAAGGAGCACCTGCAGAACCACCAGCGGCTGCACACGGGCGAGCGGCCCTTCCAGTGCGCGCTCTGCGGCAAGAGCTTCATCCGCAAGCAGAACCTGCTCAAGCACCAGCGCATCCACACGGGCGAGCGGCCCTACACGTGCGGCGAGTGCGGCAAGAGTTTCCGCTACAAGGAGTCGCTCAAGGATCACCTGCGTATACACAGTGGTGGCCCCGGGCTTGGTGCCCCGCGACCCCTGCAGGCGCCTCCAGATCGAGACTAGGGCTGGGCTGGGGGAGGGGAGGCCCCGCGACAGGAGCAGGGGTGGGTGCAGGCCTGGGGCGTCCTGAGGACCCCCGATCCTGCCGGAGGGTCTCGGCGCCTTCCCTCCCTCTCCCCGCCACCTGTAGGAAATCGGGAACAGGAATTGCACTCCAGACAGGGTCCCCTGAGGTTGGGCAGGGGTCCCCTAAACCTGTTGGGCCTGAGTGGACAGCCCAGCTCATCTCATAGGGTGGACCTAGGGGCCACCGAGTGGCTTCCCACAGCAAGATGCCAGAGGGACAGTGATGAGGTGAGAGCTTTCGGGCAGCCCCCTCAGACACCTGGTGTGCCCCTTTGGCCACTGTGGTCACAGATCGTGATCAGGGGAAGCAAGCAGAGAGTCTTGGAAGCCTTCTGAAATAAAGAAATAAGGTCCTAAGGTTAGGAGATGCTGCAAAGGAAGCAAAGGTACATGGATGAGATGAGGGATGTGCTAAGGGTAATAACATCTCTGCGATGACGACACTGCCTCCCGTTTGAATAGCGCTTTATACTTTTTTAAACGTGTTTTCTATCCGTTATCTGTTTTCACCCTTAGCCTATCCTCTGAGGTAGGTGGGGTAGGACTTTCCTGCCGGGGCAGCTGAGGAAAAAGACCTAGGTGAGATGGTTCACCCAAGATCACAGGAGAAGAGAGTGGCAGGGCTGGGCGAGGGCTCCTCATCCTGGGCAGTGTCCCCCACCACGCGCACTGCCTACCTCTGGGGTCTGAGCGACGTCTTTGGCCTGGCCGCTCTTGGTCTCTCTCCTCTCTCCTTCCCCTGACCCACCAAAAAGAACCAGAAGCAACGGGGCTGACTCTCGGAGTTCCTGGGACGAGAGCAGACTGGCTACCAAAGGCCCTGGCTTGGGCGTCCGAAAGGCTCTTCCTACGTGGGGTCCTGGGTGGGTGGCCCAGCCTGTTCTTCCCACCTCCAGTTCCTCAATCAGTGGCAGCCCCTTGTCGCTACACAGAAGTGACCCAGCCCTCTGGAGGCAGCTGGTGCCCAGGGTCGGACCTCAGCCTGACGCTTAATTCCAGCTTCCCCAGGGCAGAGGGCTGAGGGAGAGGCCCGTGCTGCAGGGGCAGCCTTCACACAAGTGGGTCTCCCCCCAGGAGGGCTGGGCAAGTGGGTGCTAAAGGCTGGGAGCCTCTGTCTCTCTCCTGCCCTGAGCCTCCCAACTGGTGCTATCTGTTACCTGACCTTGCTCATGGACATGGACACAGACCCAACCTGCCCTAGACCCTGCAGACGCTTTGGGAGGCACCCTGAGGACTCCCTTGTATTGGTGCATCTGCTCTTTGGTCCCGAGGAGCCACATGTTTTGCATGACCAGGCACTGGTGTGGGGTGCTGTGTCCCAAGACCCTTGTTTGTGTCAAGAATGACTTTTCCTGCTCCTCCCATCACAATCCCGCTTCTCTCCCAGCCAAGGGAGTACAGTGGGCAGCCAGCGCCCACACCACGTTTGTGAGTGGTCTGCTTCAGCCTTCCCCTCATCTGCGCCTCTCTGCTTTCCTCAGACTCCTTTTTGCCGTGCAAAGGGAACTCTTGGAATTAAATAAAAGGTGTCCAGATTGCAGACTGCATGTTCGCAGGGCCAGAGGGTTCTCCAGCATGGCTTCGTGCAGTAAAGCCTCAGTGAACTGGAATCTGGCTAACGGGGATTTTTTCCTTCATTCTACTTTCTGAAGGAAGCAAATCTTAAGAGGAAGAGAGGTGAGAAATTAATCATAGACAAGTTCAATGGCACTTTGTTAGAGCAGAAGGCAACCCTCTAGTCCAATGGTTTGGTTGGGAGGGGACCATATTCTGCTTTTCAAAAGTGTGTGCAGAATATAAATATTTTCATAATCAAAATCATGGAAAATAAGACCAACATATCTTTTTGGCCATTGAGAGTATAAAGGGGAAGAAATCGCTACTGAGACATGGATTTGAAGCTCCTGAACAGTTAGTCTATCCCTTTATCTTACCCTCAGGGAGCTGATTCCCAAAGAGGTTTAATGTTTGAGCCAGTGTGAGGGGCAGGACTGTCTCGTTCCTGTGTGCTGGTCCGGCGGGTCCCACTGCCCCAAGTGCCCCTCAGCTTTACCACGAGGCACCCCGGCCTCCACAGTGACCATGGGAGTGTCCTACGGTGAGCTCCACCCCCAGAGCTGATCCAAGGTGGTGACCCTCGGGGTGGACCTTCCCCAGGCAGCCGGGACCCTCAGTGTGGACCCTGGAGTCCACCTCCTGAAGCAGGTCAGGGAACAGGGGGCCTGCTTTAGGGGTGGATTTTTATTTTTCTTCTGATTTGTGTTAATTAAAATTAACTAATTTAAAAATAATGCATGTAGTAAAAATTCAAATGGTAAAGACACAATGAAGAGTAGAACTCTTTGCCTCCGTCCACTGCTGTTGCAAGGCATCTACGAGCAAGAGCTGCTCGTGTCCTTCCAGAACTGGAGAAGTCAGGGCTTGAAGGAAGAGTCGGAGGGAGCAGGGGGTGTAGAGCGGGGAGGCAAGGTGCAGTGAGGGTGAAGCGTGGCAGGGAGGCGGGAGGCTGGATTATAAGGCCGGACCCTGGCCGGGCCACAGCCAGGGTATGAAGGAGTTACAGGTGGTCAGTTGCCAGGTGGGTCATGGCCAGGCCGTGGACGGCCTTGAATACCAAGGCTGTTTCACAGGCTGCCAACTTGCTGGGGGTCTGCCGTGCTACAGGCCTCCTCCTAGCGCCCTTAGAAGCCGAGGGTGCGTAGCTCTAAGAGGTCAGAGGGGATGGAAATGAAGTCCTGAGACAAAGAGCTGAAGCTAAACAGCATTGAAGATGAAGAGCCGGTGAATAGAGGCATCTCACAAATAAGGATTAGGGCACCACAGCTGGCCTTCTGAGATCTGGTGCCCGGATATTGGCTGTAGGCAGAGAGCGAGCAGGAAAAGAGGAAACTCCACCCCACGCTCAGGTCAAACCAGCCTGTGCCTTTCTTGTATGGTATTGGTCCATCCGACTTAGCAGAAAAATGTAAAGCAGTGACCCACCAGGCCCTGACAGCAGAACAGTTTGGGGAAGGCCATGGCTGTTATTCCATCTGCCACTAATGGAGGGAGAGCTCTAAAATAGTCATTCTCAAAAAGGGGTTTTGTGTGTGTGTCAGACTCTCACACTCCTCCCTCCCGGTGAGGGTCCTGTCGTGGGTCCCCCGCCACATGGATCTTCTAGTGAGATGATGGCACTGGGTCTCAACAGGTTGAGAAGCCCTGTTCACACTTCTTTAGACCTATTTAAGGCCCATACCATCCTCAGCACAGTGATCTCTATAGGTTCACTGTCTTCTGTTACAGAAGACTGCCTTTTATTTGTCTCCTGTTCAGGATTCAAGGGAGAGCCTGTATCTGGTCTCAGAAGTCCAAGCCAGGGTTGGTTACCTGGCTGTCGCCGTGCCTGCCATCCCTGTGGGATCAATAGCCTGTAGCTGTAAAGTAGCTTGAGTCCCCAGCCTACATAGGGTGCCCTGCCCTGAATCTCAAGGATCCGGGGTTCGTTTTCCTTCGTTGACTCCTGCGTTCTGGAGTCTCAGGATCACATCTCTCTGCCATGGTGCTGGTCTCAGCTCCGTGTTAGCCCCGTGGTGGAGCTCTCCCTTGGCTTTGCCGAAACCAGATAAGATTCTTCTGTGGAGTAGACGTATTTCGAGGTTACAGAGAGCATCTCATCTCTGCCTAGTGCAGTAGAAGACCTGAAGTATTCTGTTCTTCTCACTTCTTTTTTTTAAGTGAGCTCTGTTCTTAAAAGACCTTGAACCGTCCCTTACACCATCAGGAATGTCTCAAAATTCGCCATCTCCTTTCTCCAATTTGTAGCCTCCCCACCTCTCTAAAGAGATGTTTCCTCCCACTTTCTGAGGTCCCTCACTTCCCCCTCCAGGAGGCCCAGGGAAATCCCCAAGTCCTACTTTACTCTGGAGAGCCATTTACTTTTATCTCTGGTTTTCATCTGCCTTCCAAGCCATACCTTGGGGCCTGCTTTTCTGCAATTAAAATGGCCAATAAAACTTTTCCATTAAAACAAGTCCTCTCCCTAAGAGAAATTCTGCACCAGTTTTTTTTTTATCAATTAAAGGTGTTTTTAAATAGATTCCACATTTAAAGGATGTGCAGTAAAAAATATTGTCGCCAAGTTCCTCTGCCTGACAATGACTGGCAGACCACAGAGAAACAAGGTTCTGAAAGGAACCTGGAATTATTCAGACTCAGGAACAGTTGAACAACCAATCCTGGACAGAGACAAAAATCTCTCACCTCTGCTGTTTGCTGGGGTCATTCTTTTAAACCAAACTTACTCCGAAAAATGGGGCGCAAGACTATTCCTGATTCGTGTATTTAAAGCCTCACCAGAGGGGAAATTAACTTGCTCCAGCTCCTGTTAGAAGAATGCCAGGGAAGAGTTTAGATCATATGCCCATCCCTGGCTCAATTACTGTGGCCAGGAGCTAAGGTGCTGGGGTCGGGCCAGCTTGAGCCAGATGGCTGCCCTTCAGTCACTGTTCCCAATCTGGAATTGTCATGGAACAGCATGGCAGCACCCATTTGAATTACATGGCTAGAGCCCGGGAGGAGCTGGCTGTCCCAACGGGAAGGCGGTGCACATATGCTCAGAGGAAGGGGAAGTGCCTGACTGGCAGAGTTAACAGGTGTTCACTTCACACATATGGGCAGTAGGGTGGGGGCAGCTTGAGCCAAGTCATGTCCATTCTAGGGTTCTCACTGACCTGGAGGCCTCGCAGGGCGGGTCGCTCAGGGAGTTATTTATGTAAGAGAGGGAGCACAAAAGCTGTGGTCCCCACCATCTAGAGACTTGCAGGATAGTGAGGGGAACAGTCTAGAAAGGGTCTCAGCTAAGTGGAATAAAGCCATGGTCTTCAAATTTGCTTGAGTACCAAACAGGCCTACACATACGTAACATGCATATATGTAAAACAGTATCTACAACATGCATGTAACACACTACATGTTAATGTGTATGTTATAAATCACGCAATACAACATTTTTAAGGAGTATTAAGCGTTATTTTTAATTTATATTGTTTGTGATTCAAAATATACTTCTGTTACTTAAAATTAGGGTGTGGTGAGATAATATCTGAGGTCACTGCAGCTCAGCATGCTACGTTCATATTCTATGGATGTACAGGTGACAGGATATAGGTACTAAGAGTATTTTCTTGATTGTTCTAATACCAATGGGAATAATTGTGAGCCACATTTAAAAGTTTATGTAAAGGTGTGTCAGGATTGAGTATCATTAGGAAAGGACAAATGGGTGCCTTTTAAGAAATACTGCAAGGTGGCATTTATCTTGGTGAACTCATTACTGTTTGAGACTTGGGCCTTGCCAAACCAAAATGAAAAGTGGCCTGTTACTGAGGGCTTGCTGTATGCCAGGTATATGCTACATAACTGTCTTGCCAATGGGTTTCAGCCCCTGAGCAAGTCACTATGGATTCAATGTGACCAAAGAAAATGACAGTACAAACATTCTTGGGGTAAAAGGGTTTATTATCCACCTTGTTCTCCCGCCCAGAGCACTGGGCCAACCTCTCTATATAGAGTCAATAGCAGTGTATTGCCCACAGGTGTGTAGTGAGCTAGTTGACCAGGGCCAGGTGAGAATCCTGACCACAGGAACTTTAATTTTATCCTCACTCCACCCCTCCAGGATTCTTTCCTCTCAATCTATGTGCCCTCAATCCTCTGCAATGGTCCCTGTGCAAGAAAGCTGGAGCATTGTAACCAAATTTCATAATAACAACAGAGGCTTCGACAATATACAAGTAACAAAAATTACAACAAATTATAATAACCCTCAAACCTGAGGAGATCCATTGCCACCAAGTGGTCATCCGGGCTGTATTCAAATCAGTTCTACTCAAAGGAGTTGACCAAGAGGACCATGGGTGGGCCTTACAGTGCCCACCTTCTCCAGCCTCTCCAGGAGAAAGCCTTGCAGACACACAGGCCGATCTTGTTGCTTTATCTCTGTCTCTGCTTCGTCCTCAGCAGCCGGAACCGCCACTGTGGTCTCAATTGCCACAGCTCCTGTCCAATTTCTGTCTGCTCCTGCCTTTTCAAACCAGCCCACATCTGGGTCCTCGTGACCTTCACGGGGCCCTTTAAATCCTTCCTTTGAGAAGGAGACCATGTTGCCTTTTGTGCTTGAGCCTGAGAGTAGAAGCAGAGCATGGAGCGCTCCACAACCTGAGGAGGGGGCTGCACCTCTACTGAAAGAGCCTGCGGTTGCCAAGTCCTGGCTTTCCACCAGCTTTCAACCAGGTGGGGTCTCAACCAAGGAGGGGCCGAGGCCTCTAGCACCAGCAGGGCCTCCACCCCCACCTGTTCATCACACCTCCGCTCCTCCATTTCTGGGGCTGACGGCTCCACTGCGTTTTTCTCTTGCCCCACAGCACCTGGCAGCCTGCGTGCTCGTGCTGCTTCTATTCGTGCCGCTCCTCCTCGGGCCGCTGCTCCTTCTCAGGCTGCTTCCTCTCAGGCCACAGCACTTGGTAGTGATGCCATTTCAGTCAGCTTTCTCTTGGGGTGGACCCCAGCCCTCCACCCCTTCCCAGGACCACATGTCCACAGGGGACACTTGAATGTCTCCCAGTCCACAAGTGCAGCCTGCTGAAACACTCCTTTCATGAGGACAGCCTGTTCTTTTTCCTTGGTCACCAGTGAATCCTGCCAACTATGCCAATTGTCTTGCCAATGGGTTTTGGCCCCAGGCAAGTTCACTATGGATTCAGTGTGACCAAAGAAAACGGCCATGAAACATTCTTGGGGTGAAGTGTTTATTACCTGGCTTGTTCTCCCGGTGGTAGGTCAAGCACTAGTGTCTCAGCCTCCACCCAGAGCACTGAGCTGAGCTCTCTCGTCAACAGCAACGTATTGCCCACATGTGTGTAGTGACCTAGCCATCCAGGGCCAGGTGGGAATCCTGGGCACAGGAACTTTCATTTTATCCACAATAAGCATTTTACTTACACATGTTATTTTGTCAATCCACCCATGGCCCTAGGTTGTGGTGTCCGTATTCTCTGTGGAAAGACATGGAGGCAGAGTGAGCACAAGCCACACCAGTTAGTAAGTGAAGAAACAAAAAACAGTAGCAACCAGAAGCACTTCTTGAGCTCTTAACTTACGACAGGCACTGTTCTAAACACTTGGCTTGAACCTACTCATTTAACCTGCAACACAGCTCTATGAAATATGGGCTCTTATTATTCCCCACAATGATGAGGAAATGGAGGCGCTGAGAAGTTCACGACTTGCCCGAGGTCCACATCAAGTTAGTGGCAGCGCTGGGCTAGGGACCTGGCTGGTCTTGCTCTTAAGTCCTACTTTCTAAATCACTGTGCCTCACCATCTGCAAGAGCCTGAGCAACTTCAGATCAGCGCCTGGTGCCGGCCCCCTCGCACACTGGACATGGATTTAAATTTGACCTAAATATTTTTCCAGAGCTCCAGGCTCAGAGTCAGGGCTGCTGAATCATACTGCCTCTCAAGAGACTGATGCATAGGCCAGGGGTGGACTGGACATTTGCATCAGCCTGTACCACGTGTTGCCTCCAGCAGCTACATGGGAACCTGCATCATCCGAAGGTTGGCTGAGGAACATGGAAGCAGAATAGAGGGTGTGAAATACTATAACTGAACTGTTTAAGGATCTCAGTACATTGTCTTGATAAATCATCTGCCTCCACTATCTTGAGGCGGTCAGCCCTTGGCCATATCGCCATGGCTGACTAGTTTCCTCAGCCTGGCCCATTCTTTCTTTAGATGTATCAGTGATTTAGTCAAGCCCCTGGTTGCCCTGGACATCATACCTTCTTTTGGGGTTCACTTTTCTTATCCTTATTCATCATTCAATCATCTAAAAATATTTATGAGCACTTCTGTGTGCAAGAATGGAGGATAAAATGGAGAGACATTTTAGTGAAAGAAACATACCATGTAAACTAATGGGAAAATGTGGTTATTTCTCACAGTGATAAATACTATGAAAAATTCTGAGCAAGGTAACAAGATTGAGTGTTGGGATGGAAAAGGATGTTGGAATGCAGACAAGTGGACAGGGAATACCTCTCTAAGGAGGTGAAATCTAAACTGAGCTCTGCATGCTAAGGAGCCAATCATGAACATGATTTTCTTTCGATCTTAAGAGTTTATGTTGGGAAAGCACCTCAGGCCTATTATTCGAGGTGAAAGTTCATTGCCTGTCTCTGTGGAGACAACTGGCCCAAATTAGGCAAGTCTGTTTGTAAGTCTGGGGAGAGGAAATCCCGGGGCAAAATACCTCTAAAAACTGAAATCAGTCAAAGGGAGAAATAAAGTTTAAAATCCATTTATTGCTCACAAGCTGCAGTCCTGGGCCGTCTCTCTTTCCTACTCCAGAAGCAAAACCAGCCCTCCCCTCACTTCTCCGGTACAGATAAGCCATCCTTGCCCAGGTAATTACCCATTGATAAGGACATGATTTCTCTCCACCCCTGAGGAATGATGCAAATGCACTAAAGCCACACTTCTTTCCATCTCTGAATGCCTGTTGATATGCAGATATACCAAAGCCATGCGAGATATTCTGGAAATGTTACAATTTTACCCACCCTGTTGCAGCAGTGTTTCCTGCTGACCAAACCATAATGCACCTGCTTTCCAAATCAAAATTCCGAACACAAGGTCTAACAGTAGCATGCAGATTAGATTCAACATTTGAAATCAAGACCACCTCAGATTTTCCAAGTGATTACCATAATTAATAGGCTACAGTGAGTTGGCCTGGACACTTGACCCCACACTGTTGATCTGGGAAGTGTGTTCCTGGTTCCTAAAAAGCCAAATTAACAGGTGAACTTCTGGAATAAAACCACTTGCCATTTGGTAATGGCATATCTCTTTCTCCAACCAAATTACATGTTCTTCCTTCAAAGTCTGAATTTTTAAAATCCCTCAAAGAGTGCTGGGTATGTAGAAGACTGACAAAGGCTAGTGGGTTTGCCTGTAATTCTAGAGCTGCACTCACCTCGAAGGGACTGAGTTGGTCTGCGGTTCCGCCCTCTGGCCTGGAGCACCGAACTGCTGTTCGTCCTCCTGCCATATGGGGGCGCGATGGCAATCCCGCGCGGCGAGGACGAGCGGCTGGAGCCGGTCTTGGCTCGTGAGGGCTGCGTTCCCACAATGCACTTTGTATCAACACCGCTGTGGTGGCGCCTGCGAGGAGGAGCCGGGGACGCCTGGGGACCGGCGCGCAGCCCGCGGGGTATCAGGCGGGGCTTGGGCGGTGAGGGGCGACCGGCAGCCATGGCGGAGTCAGCGCCTGCTCGGGTAAGAGTCCGCCTGGCACGGACTTGGGGGCGTGTTCGGGTGGCGGAGCTCCTGGCCGGGGCGGGGCTTGGAGGTCGGGACTCCGGCGCGGCTGGGGGTCCCGGGGCCGCTGCTGGCGAGCACCGACGTTCCCCCGCGACTCCCGGGCTCTGCCCTAACCGCCTGCGGCCCCTTCCGCGCGGGGTCGGAGCCCCAGCGCCACGCGCCATCGCCGAGCAACTTCTCCGAGGCTTGTTTCGTGTTCTTGGCTTTGCGACCGTCCCCACAAGTTTCGTCGCGCCGAGAGACACCCTCTCCGGGCTGGAGAGGCGGTGCGGTTGGGAAGCCCTGGGTCCCCCGCGTTGCCTGTGAGCTCGCCCAGTGTTCCGGGGAGCCGGGACACGCTGCCTATCCGCAGACAACTCGTAATCTGATGTGTTTTGCTCGTTCTTTCTGCCACACTCTGATACAGACTAATGTACTGGGGTTGCAGCCACAGGTTGAAGTCAGGCTGGCCTTCCTCTCCTTGGGGACAGATGTTACCTCACGGTGTAGTTGCTGGGTTTTGTTTTGTTTAGATGTCCGGTCTCTCCCCTTCTCTCCCAATCACGGACATCCCCATTCAGAGAGTATCAAGACTGGGGTCTTGGGGTGAAGAAAATCCCGGGCATGGAATCAAGAAACCGGATTTCAGCCGTAACTCAGCTCTCGGCCATCCAGTTGAGTGATTTCAGGCAACTATGTTGCCTCCGTTTCTTTAATTGTAAATTGAGTGTTGGATTCTAAGTTTTAAGTTGTTAGATGATCTCTCAGGCTCCTTCCAGCTCTCACATTCTCATATTATTCCGAAGAGGTGGTTAATTTGATAATACAAAAGTATTTGCTACGGGAAGGGCAGATGGCATTGAATGGATTTTTAATGCAGTATTTCTTGGTCAAGAAACACTTGAGAATCCATGTGAGATCTTTGTGCGAGTAGAGGCTGAGGAGATCCTGTGGTGAACACTTTACTCTGAAAAGGGTGCACTTTATTCGATTCTTTTTTTTTTTTTTTTTAAGGAGAGCACGGAGACTTTTATTGAGAGATACAATGAGAAGACAGACAGAGCTTCTGGCTTATGCCAGGAGGGGACAAGAGAGCCCAGGGTGGTGCGTTGTCTAGGGGATTTATAGGCAGTTGAGGATTTTGGGGAATTGAGAGCTTGGGGTGTGGACCTGTACCACCTGCCCTGCCCTCAAGGTGGGCTGGGTTGTTGTCTGTTTGCTAGAGCTGTAAGTGAAGTCACTGAGATACACTTCCTTATTTGTGCAACACTCAAACACTCCAGGCCAAGTTGCTCCTGGCCTTTTGATCTTTAACTGATCTCACTGAAGATGTCTAGTATCTTTACCCTAGAGAATTAGTGTGACCTTGACTTTGCATAATGCTGAACACAGAGTTTCATAAGGACTTTACATTGTTACATTGCTTTGACCGTAAATATCTTGCCTTGCTTTTCCCGGAGGCCCTCACCCTAGTCTGTCTAAGCCCATGGTCCCTGTCTCATTCCCCCGCCTACAGATAGAGACCCTAGCTGCTGCTAGGGAAAGGGGGCGATGACGACCGCTCTGGCTGCTCCATGCTGAGAAGGGGTGCACTAAAGGGCGCAGTCAGGTCTCCATCAGCGGTCAGTTGAGGAGGCCCTCGGAAGATGGGCACTTCTATTCCGGGTTCCTTTTCTATGACTATGTGCAGTGTTGTGGCCTCTAGGCAAGATAGAACCAATGGCGTTATTAGGTTAAATAGCAACATCTGCAGTTGGATTTTCCATTCCGGAAGGACAAACGTGATGAGATTAAGAATGCATGGCTGAATATGAGAACTAGAAATAGTAAAACTTTAATTGAAATGATGGGAGAAAACTAACACATCTGGAAAATCATAGCCAGATATTTTGATCAAACTAGAATTCTGGATCTAGTTTATGTCCCAGTGACTAGTATTAGGATTTAGTATGGATAAGGCTGCATTATTGAAACAATACTTTTCTCTAAAATCACTGTCATTTTTATTAGAAGTAACCAGATTAAGAAAATAATTAACACTTGGCTTGATTATTTGCAAAAGTGTAGCAAGAAGAGCAGTTGATTACATAAGCTCTTTTAAATGTGCTTTGCTGGAACTTTTTATAAGGAATTATAGATTGGACTTTTAAAGACCTCAAGGCCAGAAAGCCAAGCCAGACTTGCCATATCAGGTTTTACCTGCAGTACCTGTAGATTTGGGTGAATTCCTCTCTTCTCAAGGTCCCCAAGACATCCTGAGGTTCCTGCCCCTGCCAGGAAGTGACCTTCCTTACTCACCTGGTAAGGCTGCTGGGAACCTTGTAAGCAAGGTACCAGGCCAGTTCTTCCAAGGGGCTTTGTTGGCTATATAAAGTCAACCTTAGTTCCTTAAAGCTGTTCATGTCTGAGTTTATGCATGTGTCTCTCAGGTATGACATTCCAGTCAAAGCCCTGGTAATATAACCTGTGTTTTTAATTGGTCCTCTTACAAGGAAAGCAGATTCTTACTGAGCTTATGCAAATAAACATACTGACATGAAATATAAAAATAGTCACTGAGAGTTTTTAAATTCTGGAGGGATCAGGTAGAGGGAAAGATAAATGTTTCAATTCTGCTTATGAAGATATAGTCATTTACTATTTAATTCTTGACAGGCAAGAACTAAGAGGGGAAGGATTGGAATAGTTAGAGAACAGTGTTTGCAGTTGCAATTGAATTGTAAAGACAAAACAAAATGTACACAGTATTTACCTCATCTGACTTCTTTAAGCTGATACAGTCAAAGGCTTGGCTTTTCTCAAAATCAAATCAGTATTAAAGTTGGGACAAGTTACTAACTTCCAGACTGGTCAGTGTATAGTTAACCTATGTGTCACCAATAGACCTTGTTAAAAGGAAGCCTTAAAAGTCCCCCAAAATACCAAACTACCCTTTAAATAACTTACCATGTGTCATTGTAGAACATATGTAAATTGTTTTTGAACATATTTTCGTCTATAGATGAGGGTTCTGTACCTTTCTTTTGACCCTATGGCCAGGGAGGTGCCCTAGTGAAAACAACTAAAAATGCATACCTGAAATATATGTTAGTAAAGAGCCCAAAGATGACTTCTGAGGCCAACTTTGAGGGCATTTGCTAAACATTTATCTTTGCTGTTTATGACCTTAAGGGACCTGAAAAATAGAAGACAAAACTCCGATGGGGAGTATAAGAGGCTTTCTACCCCAATCTTATATAGAGTTGAGATTTCCAAAGCCCTACATTCCGGGTGAATTGAAAGTAAGCTCTTACCCCTAGGTGATTGCAAAGAAAATTGTGTCAAACCAGAGATGGGTGCAAGGTACCCCTTGAAATTCATGGTGGTCCTTATGTGGGTTTATTGCCTGAGTTTATACTACCTGGATGGCCCAAAAAACTTCAAGCCAAGAATGCAGTTTGAAGTCGAGCCTGCAACTATCAGAAATAAACACACATCTGTTCTGGAGGAAGCTGCATTTAACTGACTTCAAGTAACTCCCATAGATAAAATTCTAAGAAAAATGACTTCACACACACACACAAAAATGACCAAACAATGAAAAACTATGAGGAAAAGCCAGTAAAAAATCAGACTTTCAAAGATTTCAGAATTTCAGATGTTAAAATACCAGAAGGAAAGGAAAATTCTCTCTCTCTCTCTCTGTCTCTCTGCACTGGAGGTTGAATTTGATGAATAGCTAAGTGGCTGAAAGTAATGTGGGACTGATGCAAGTGCTAACACATAGAAACCCAGTGGATCCTGAGCAGAATGAAAAAAAGACATCTCTACCTAGGCACGTAATAGTGAAAGTACAGAATAAAAGGCAAAGAGAATTCTTAAAAGCAGCCAGAGAAAAAAGACAGCTTACCATCAAATGAACTGCCACATGACTAATGGGGTCCGGCTTCTCAACAGCAACAGTGGAAGACAAACAACAGTAGAATGCTACTGTCGATGGTCTGAAACAAAGTAACTGTGAAACAAAATAACTGTTTTTATGCTCAGCAAAAATACATTCCAAAAACAATTCTGGTTCTTTAGTAATTTCTAGTTCTTTAGTAGACTTCCAAAAACAAGGGCAAGATAAAAACTTTGCACAAATTAAAACTGACAATTTCCTACTAAAACACTCTCCTCAAAGGAAATTCTAAAAGATATACATCAGGGAAAAGGAAAATTATCTCAACTGGAAAGTCTGAAAATGTAAGAAAGTATACCAACCCATAAAAATGGGTAAATAAAAACAAATAATTGACTGAATGAAATTAGTAATCTTGTGGGGTGAAAAAGGCAGAATTCAAATGCATGGCAGCACCGATGTAGAAGTTAGGAAGAGTTGATCAGAATTCAGGTGTTTAAAGGCCTCTGTAGGTATGCCTCCCATAAGTTGTAGGATAATTACTAAAGAACTAGAAATTGGCTATAAACTTACAAATTAGAAAGAGGAATAATAGAATAAGAAAGAAGTCACCTAAGAGAAAGTAAGAAAGAGGATGAAAAGAAAGATGGGATGAACCAAAAAAAATTAATAAAAATAGATAAACAGTTACAATAAATGTAAATGGACTGAATAATCTAGTTAAAAGGCGGAAATTGTCAGGATGGGGGAAAACCCAACTGTACGTTTTCTAAGAGCTACAGCTAAAAGATAAAGCTATAAAAATGGTTGAATATAAAAGGATAGGGAAACATATACCAGGCTGATACTAATCTAAAGAAAGTTGGCTAAACTATATTAATATTGCTAGAGATAGAAGGCTACTACTACTTTTATAATGGTAGAAGACTCAGTTTCACCAGCTTGGATAATGACATTTCTAATCTTACATGCACCTAATTATATAGCTGCAAAATACACAAAACAAAAATCAACAGAACTACAAGGAAAATTTACTGTTGTAGATCTTAACACAATCTTAATACTTGATCAAGGAGAAAAAATTAGGGTATAGTAC